AAGTTTGGGGCCAGTCATTTTGTTTCTTTTTTATAAATTAATACTTTTATTCAGCAAGGATGTTAAATGGATAAAAAGTGATAGTAAAGACTTATATTGTTAAAAAAGATTTCTATTTTGAATAAGCGCTGTTCTTTTCAACTTTTTATTCATCAATGAATCCTGAAAAAAGAATCACAGGTTCCAAAAAAAAATTAAGCAGCACAACTGCTTCCAACATTGATAATAAATCAGCATATTAGAATGATTTCTGAAAGATCATGTGTCATAAGACTGGAGTAATTATGCTGAAAATTGAGCTTTGTATCACAGAAATAAATTATATTTTAAAGTTTATAACAATAGAAAAACATTATTTTACATTGTAATAATATTTCACAATATTACTGTTTTTTACTGTATTTTTTAGGCTTTATGAGCATGAGACTTCTTTCAAAAACTTTAAAAATAGTAACGTTTCCAAACCTTTGACCAGTACTATATATATATAAAATAGAGCTATATAAATATTAAAATCGTCAACATAGTGAGCTGTCTAACTAGACAGTGTTCCTTTCAAACAGGCCTAACGTTATGTATGATGCCCAAAAATTACGCCAAGTTAGACAGTTCATTTGAAGACAAGTAACGTTACATTATAATTACCCTGTTATGACGCCAACATTAAAAAAATTTATACACTATACAGGGTTATAGTTTGGTTTTAATCTGATTGAATGTCATTTACAGCAGCTCGAACAACATGGCTGCCATCCGCATTGCTTGTAAATACGGCTTTATTCTCTTACCTCAAAACTGTGTTTCACGAAAGACTTCGAGTAGAAGAACCGATGAAAAAGCACCTGTCCGGTCGCCATGGCAACCTGAAACAGAAATGCAATTAAAGACAATTTAATAAACCGCCCTGTTTTGTTTAAAAAAAGCAACGTCCGCCATTTTGTTTTTGTCTAGCCGATGGACACCGTTCGTGAAAGACGTAACTTACAGAATCCATGTTACTGAACTCAAGATTAAACACTGTGTAAAATCTAAACTTGTAACGTTATATCATTTTTTAACAAATATTTTTAGTCCATGGGAACGTTTGGCGTGTTTTGTCGAATTATAGGTGTTTGTTTGATAACGTTTATGTCACATCGCAATTTTTTTTGACTAATTATTTATTTCAACTTCCACTATAATATAACAGTTGCACTTAGATGAATCGTTTTTGTAAGTTACACCAACAAACATATGAATTACCTGCGGCAGGCGCAGCAGGATTCCGGCGGCCTGGATGAGCTCGCAGCCCAGGATCCGCAGGTCGGTCTCGACGTACAGGTCGAGGCCATCCTGCATAGACGGGGTCGGGGAAAGCTTTTCCTCTGGAATCAAAGAATTGTCGATGGTGAGGAAGACTTCGGAATACACTTTATCCCCTATTAATATGCCTTCGCTATTAGCGGGCGCGTTTGCGGCGGGACCGGTGGCCATCGACGCCTCCATGATCGCTGTCGTCGGTACCTGCCGAGGACGTTAGAATCTAGAAATATTCTCGTTACCCAGAGCGGATAATAGCACTGCATTCGCTGCTTCTGTGAAAGCTCGCTGATTGGTGCAGAGATGTGTGTCATGTGACCAAAACAAATGTTAGCTGTCAGACACTGTTACATTATTTAACGCTGTAACCCACCACATTTCTTTGAAGTACGTTTCTGCACCCATAGATAGACTAGTAGACACCATTTATTATACACTTTAAATACATTGCTGGTTATGCTGGGATTGTAAGCGTTATCAATAAGGCTTTTTATCGGTGGATTTTTTTTTTTCACAGCGCCTCCTGCAGCAGTCTTTTGCTGTAAATGACACTTGCGCCTCCAGGCGTTTATATTTCTATAAGGGTTGAACGTAGGTCTGACGTAAGTCTGGCCTGACAAACAGCATATTTGTACACATCCGCGACCTATTGTAGAGCCGGATAAAATGAGAGATAAAATGGATTTTATTCACGTATAACATAAGTAAACACATAAAATACTCCACGTAATCACGAGGGAGCGAGCATAGCAATTTATCAGCATGGTGTCTCTACTTTTGCCAACTTATGTGTAGTCTGTAAAATTGAGGAAGAAGCTGTGCTTCGTTCATTTTATCATGGCAATCAGAGAGAATTTATGTTTTCTCCTTTCATAAAATGTAATTTTAACGTTTCGCTAAAATATATATTTCATTTTTTCTCTGGCAGTACCCATGGTGTTGGCCTTGTTAATTTCTTTGCTTTGCTTTCTTTTTTCTCTTTCTTTTTTACAATAACAAATTTCTTCATACTCTAAAATCTCTCAATAAGAATAACAAATTGATCTTTCTCACTGATTGTGGTGTCTTTTCAGTAGGCAGGCTACTTGTTTCTGTTTGTATTTTTCCTTTCCTTTTCATGTTATGTGTTTTTGTATTTCAATGCTGTGTGCTGTTTGTTCTTTGCAATAAAAAAAAAAATCAGCGTTAAAGATTTCATAATCTTTTGAGTCTATTCGACATCAACGCATTATGAAAAATAAATAGTAGGCTACACTTATCCTTCGGAGAAACTGTTATGCTATTATGTAATTTGTGTATTTTAAGATAGATAGCCAGCCACTACCCAGTGACTAGGTACGGGAAGTACCATGACGCTGATGACAGGAAGGAACTGAAATGTGCAGTACATATCAATCCGCGGGTACGTTCTACAGACGTGTGGCTGACGTCATGAGAAAATACACACATGATAGCAACGATCCCTTAGTTTAAAAAACAACAACAACAACAAAAAACAATCACCTAGTTCTTTTGGCAGTATTTACTGGAAAAGAGCATGGTTATTGCTTGAAAAATACAGCATTTATAACCAGATAAAAGAAGTAGGCTACATTAAGATTACTACACTAAGAAACTGCATAATAACCAGCTCCCAAATTTTGCTGCTTTTATCTATGCAATCAGATAACTTACATTCCATTTGGAAGAATAAAGTGTTATCTATGTCATGTTATAAAATGTGAATTAAACTTCTCTCTGAAAGATTTATTTTTCTGTCAGTAACCATGCTGGTGAACTTTATTTTAGCAATGTTTTTATTCACAAGAAAAAAAAAACTGAACTCTTTGCCTAGATTTGTAGTCTTTCTTGCTGAGATATATTTCATTACAGTGTTGTTTCTTCTTTGCAATAAAAAAAATCATTTCACATGAACATTTTCAATTATAATGTGCTGAAATGATACATGCTTTACTAGAAATTGTCACGCCAGCATCTGAATGTTGAAGATGATTTTATTTCCGTATAGACCCTTAAAAGATAAGCTACTTTGCGTCAAAATACTATAGGCACTACAGTTACAAATGCAGGTTTTATCCATCACTGTCCAAAAAAGAAAAAAAAACTTAGAATAAACGTAAAAATTTGTTCCATCCTCTATGCTTTCTAGCAATGGTCACAGTTGGCATTTTGACAGAAATTGTGTTATCATGGTAATGTTTTGTTAGGGAAGATCAGGTACAAACACAAGTTCCACAAGGTCACATTAGTGAAATTCCTGTAAATTTCACGGGCACAAATGTCACAGCTCTGACAGAAGTCGCTTTCAATTTCAAACCAAGCCGCTTTCTGTTGGTCAACATGGTGAATTTGCAGGACCAACTTGAACTCGAGCGAAATCTGCAAAGGGGAAAATCTTTTGATTCCTATAAAAATGACTCGGTTTTGACCACAAATATGTGTCGAATAACAGTAAATGTGACCAAGCTTTTACACAAAATGTAAACTTTCTTGAAATCCCACTTGCAATCAAACCAGTGGACTGCTGTCGTATAAGGCCCGTTCACACTACGAAGATAACTATAACAATAACTATATCAGCACCACCAATGCATGATGACATTCTGTTTACCTAATCCCTACCCATAAATGGTAAATGGTAAATGGACTGCATTTATATAGCGCTTTCACAGACCCAATGGCCACCAAAGCGCTTTACAATTTGCCTCACATTCACCCACCCATTCACTCACTCACTCACCGACGGCGGTGTCTGCCATACAAGGCGGCATCCAGCTCGTCGGGAGCTTGGTCAGGTGGAACCGGGGATTGAACCACCAACCTTCCGGTTTGTAGACAATCTACATGAACCACTGAAGCCCCTCAACTTTTCCCTAAAATCAGAGGATGTTTAAGTACTTCACCCTGGTTGTCCCTCAAATCTGATTGGTTGATTGGAAAGTTGTTCCAGGATCAACAATGATGTTGATCGAGGAACATGTGGTATACTTGGCGAAATCACGCTCACCCTGCAGTTATGCCGTCTGCCGCTTTAAATGCTCGAGCTCAGGTGGATTCTGATTGGCTGTCAATAGAGTGCTGCAGGATGACATATTTTTGTAGGCCAACCATCACCAAGTCTGCATCACCCTGGTTCCCTCAACAAAATCCCAATAGGATGGATTATTGCATAATATATAACTCTGGATTATTCTGGATAACTCAGAATAAGCTCTGTGACTGACAAACGTTTATCATTCTTACTTTTCTTCATCGTGATAATCTTCACAAATAAACACAACTTTTATGCATTTTGAAGCCTAAATACAATCGGCAGAAGTAAAAAGCTAAAAGTAGACTATAAAAACTACAATCCCAAGACTTCAGAGCCACAATCATTTGTATCGTTCATCAGCTAAAAAAAAAAAAAAAAAAAAATGTTTTCAAATTGTTGAAATTTGTTCCTCAGTATCGTTATAGTTCTGGTGTGGAATTGGAAAGATTATTTATGGCCTGGTTTCACAGAGAGGGCTTAAGCAGGATTAGGCATTAGTTCAATTAGGATATTTAAGTAGCTTTTATGAACGTGCCTTAGAAAAAAAATATTACTGCTGTGTATCTTGAGACAAAACAATGGATATATGACATATTTGATGATATGTCAGTTCAAGCTGCTTTTAGTCTGGGAGGTTTAGGCCTTGTCTGTGAAACCCAACCCCTCTGTGTGATCAGGCCTTAATTCACTGTTTTTTCTTCTATCTCTGCACACCGTCCTGAACTCGATCGCTCATCCTGACAGTCTGGTGTTGCTGAAGAAGCTGGACGATGCCTATCATATTGTGTGTTCTTGCAACGTCCTCTGCTGTCTCTCTCCAGCTGCTCCTTACAGCAGGATCAGCACCTTTGTCTAGCAGAACCTTGAAGACCTGTGGATTGAATCACAAGTGTTCTGAGAAAGTAAAGACAGGTAAACATTCATAAAGACATTTATATAATACAAAGAGCAGAACATCCCATAGGAAAGCGAAATCACAGATGAGCAACTTTTCAGTTAATGCATTTTCACTGATCAGATAGCTATCTGATTTGTTAAAATTGTTTTATTTACGGCCACATAAATGTGTCTCCGCAAAACAGATATAAATCCGAAATATGACATTTTAATTCAACGGAGTTCATGCCACTAAAAGCAACAGATATGCTGCATATCATATGCGCTAAAATTTATTATCAGCTTATTTCAAGATGCGTCAGCACGGGCTTTTTAAATGGAATTGACTGTGTTGAGTTGAGTTTTCAGATGAGATGCAGTATGTTGAATTTCAGTTGTGGCAGTTTGCGCGTCTGCTTGTTAAAAAAAGATGCTCAACTATTATCTCTGGCAATGTATGTTGCAGTAGTGCTGTCATATTTGACTACCGGTATCATGTCTCATTTGGACTTTTATATTTAGTTTTTAGGTTTATTTCTTGTTTCTAGTCTTGTAGTCCTTTTGGTTCCACTCGTTACTCCCTCATCATTTGCACCTGTGTCTTGATATCTAGTTTTCCCTGTGTGCATAAGCCATAGTGTTTGCTGTTTACTTTGTCAGTTGTTTCTCATATTTCAGAATTCTTGTGTGTACTTGTATTTTGGTTTCCTGTTTTCTTACTCCTGCCCTTTGTGTTCCTTGGTTCTTTTGTTATTACCTGTACTTAGTTCCACACCTCTGCCTGCCTTCCTCGCCTCTTCCATGTTACAACCAGGAGCCTCCTGAAGTGGTTTGAGTGATTGGTTTTAAATCTGTCTCGAAAGCATTTTGTGGGCATTTACAACTGTGCTGCATCCAAAATCACATACTGTAACACTGAATACTGAAATTCAAACTTACTTTGTGACCGTCAAAGTCCCCCTGTGGTGAAAATCCAGCTTTTAATGTTGTTTATATGTGGTGTTTTTAAAATGTTTAAAAAAGGTGCGAGTGAGTGGAGGCGGGGCTAATTTGCATATTTATAGATACTGCGTATACTAAATGAGGCAAGGGTGAAAGCTTGAAGCTTATTTTAAGGCATGAAGAATTTTTTTTCAAGGAAACATTTTTTAAATATGTAATTTTGCTGATCAAAGATGAGATTTAAGGGATAAAATTATTGATTACATGGGGACTTTAAAAAATACATTCTATATAGTATGAATGCGCATAGTATGAATAAAATTGGGACGTACATCCACCATGTATGTAACTCACGGCCTCAGTTGCGTTGCTTCACCTCCATTCATAAATCCTCTCCCGTGGCCTCATGGGATAGTAAAGTGTCCATCGAATGTGCACTTCAGAATCTCGCCGGAAGTAGTAAGTCATCCTGGTACTTTCACCTGTTTTATGAACACTATGAATTCGGCCTTACTACTCAGCTCACATACAGTTTTTCACCTACTATATAGTATGGAAATAGGATAACGCAGCGCTGGTCTTTTCACAAACTGATAGCTATCAGAGAAAATGCATGAAGTAACCAAGTGTAAGTAGGCCCTAAATTGTTTCTTCTTGAGACCATAATAAATGGAGAGCAAACAGAGACTTTTACTCTTCTGCTTCTCTGATTATATATAGAAAGAGAGAGAGAGAGAGAGAGAGAGAGAATCAACACACCTTGCAGTGACCCCTCTCTGAGGCCAGGTGCAAAGGTGTCTGTCCGAGCCTCTCCACAGCATTCACATCTGCCCCGTAATGCAGCAACAGTTTGGCAGCCTCAACATTATCCCTGAGTGCTGAGTAGTGCAGTGGTGTCATTTTGAGGTTGTCCCTGTCCTCAAGTCCTGCTCCGTTCAGAATCAACAAGTGCACTACAGCCCTGGAGCCACTGCGGGCAGCCAGATGCAGCGGAGACGCCACATCTCCATCCCTGACATCAACCTTGGCCCCTCCTGTTAACAGCTGCTGAAGGATCTATGGGGAAGGAGAAGATACGGTTAGAAGTGACAGAAGAGGATGGAAAGTAGAGAGTGAAAGAAAGATCAAATGGTGCTAAGCAGACAGGAACTGTACACTGCCCTTCACCCACACATATGCCATCTGTTTCACTGCACGCGGTTGGCGTGACTCTGAAAGCATTCTGCCAAAAGGGCAGCGAGACCTTGAATTCACAGTCTTGGCAATGCAAGTTTTGCTCCAGTAATAGGGATTATTGGAAACAAATGCATTTAGGTGTTTATAGGACACTTCAGTTTTTTAGCGAGAACATTTATCACTCAATGATCACATGAGATAACATTGGATAGCATAACATTATTTCATCACTCCTGTTATACAGTAACTGTTACACTGCTACTTTTATTTAAATAGCTTTTAAAACAGAGTCCAACTTGCCAATTTTCCAAACAGAAAACTTATTTTACAGTCTTTAGTTCAAGATTACACTTACATATGCCATTGATATTTTAAATAGGAAATAGGGGAGCGGAGGGGAGGGGAGGGGAGGAGGGGGGAGGCGTGTCTTAAATAGTGTGGTTGTCTTTTGTATTGTACTGTTTGTTGAGCCCTTGTCTAAAGACAATTTTCTACCCCCCTGTGGGGATAGACAATAAAGCTTTTTTGAATTTGAATTTGATTTGAATATAGTCGGATATAGTATATATTATGCGTATTTGGTGTGCTGTCCGAGCAGAGGGCTCCGAGCTCAGAATTTGGCCCGAACACAGAACACCTCTACCACTCCCACCCCCCACCCCATCCCTGGCTGGGATAGGAATAAACAAAAGTGAGAAGTTGGGGTAGAGGAGAGATGTTGGAAAAACGTTCATGAAACAGAAGTCAGTCGAATCTATATTTAAGCCTCTTCTAATGCCGGTTGGGTAGATTATCTGGATGTGCTCCTCCTGAACTTTGTTAATAAAACATAATTTTTCAAAGAAAAATGTGAAAACAGTTGGTAGATTTGATGTTTTCCCCAACAATGTTTTGGGAAGGGAGGTAATTTCAGTTGTATATGTCTGTAACTTCATTAAATTAATAAAAATTGGCAATATTTAATTGAAAAAGCTTATTAACTAAAGTCGGCACTACCCACAATCAGTCCACTGACCATCTGATAGATATTGTACTCTGGAAAAGGTTTGTAAAAAACTAAAGATCAAAAAAGTTAATCAAAGTTGTCCTAAGACAAGAACAGGTATTGTTCCAAAAAACTTTGATGAAAGGTTTTGATCCACTTTAAGATATGTCAGTGCAAGTTGCTTTCAGTTTAAACAGCCTAAACATGCATTTTAGTCTGGGACTGGCTTAAACCTTGCCTGTGAAACCAGGGGTAAATGCTGGTATAGTTTCAAAGTTTAAAAAAGATGTAGTGCAGGATTTGGTTCTATGCATCGGTTGTTGATTGGATTTTAAGATGTGGGCACTCAAAATTAGAGGCAAATGAACACAAACTTGCAGAGGCGGGGTTTAAGTGGACTAAACGATTAGAGAAGTCTGGGATTTGTCTCCAGAAGAGCCATTTTTGAATTTTTAGACCTGTTTACACCTGGCATTAAAATGTGTTTTTGTCAAAATGATGGTGGACAATGTTAAAGGAATAGTTCACTTAAAATTAAAATTCTGCACCAAAACAATAGATTCCAACTTCGCTATGTTGTTGGCCAAAACACATTATCATTCATATCCTTTCCATTTTCTTCCTTCCCAGCTTGCTTGTAAGCAGCGTAATGGCTTCATTCATTCATTCAATAATATTTGTGCGGTGCACTCATGTGAAAGTGATGTAGAGTATGACGAAAGAAGAGAGGAAGGTCTAGACTAAATCAGAACACAAGTGGTCACAGGAGACGCATTTAAGTGTAAACGGTAATGAGTTTTGGCTGAAAACGTATCACTGAAACACCAGGTGTAAATAGGACACATTATGAGGTCAAAACATTCTTAAAAATAAAACATACATGGATAGATTTTTTAAAATAAGGTCTATAGCATCCTTTTAGAAAATAGATAGGGTGGATTTCATTTAATGGCGACTTCAAACCCATAGTCAATCACCTTCTTGTCTCCAGAGTAGGCACAAAGGTGCATGGCTGTGCGCCCATTAGGACCCCTCATATTGGCATCTGCGCCTCGGTGCAACAGCAGTCTCACCCCCGCCTCATTCCCTGTCAACACTGCCAGCTGCAGAGGGCTCATGCCCACACCTTTTCCTCCCTCCACATCTGCCCCATTATCTAGCAGAAGCTCCGCCACGTCCCCCCAGCCTCCAAAAATCGCCCAATGCAAGGGTGTCCACTTGTGAAAGTCCTGGGCGTTCGGTGAGGCCAAGTGCTGGAGCAAAACCCGTGCCGTGCACAGGTATCCGCTGGCTGCAGCCAGGTGAAGGGGCGTCTGGCCAGAGCAGGACCTTTCTGAATGTGATGCCCCCTTCTGGAGGAGAAAGGCTGTGGTCTCGGGGTTTCCTCCGCTGCAAGAGCGGTGCAGGGGAGTGCAGTTGAAGAAGTCTTGGCTATTTACCTCCACCTGGCCAGTTTGCAACAGGAACTTGATCAGCATGAGATGACCCTTGAAAGAGGCGTGGTGGACAGCTGTCCAACCATGCGGGTCCCTGGAAGTACAAAATGGTACTGTGTATTTATTTTGGGATTAACTCAACACTCTTTTGCATGGCATTAGACGTTACTATTTTTAACCTGTTACCTTATGTTATTAACATCTGACACTGTAATAATACTAATTTAAAAGGGATATATGGAAAGTGAAAATTAAAAAAAAAACATTATACCACAAATACTGTGATTGTTGTGTCATGGCTTGTTAGGACAAAAACATGGAATAGATAGCTTTTATTGTTAAAAAATAAGATTAATTAAACAACATAGCGTCTAGTTACACCAAGCGCAAATAGCTTGCTTTGCTGACAGAGGCTATTTACACTAACTCCCCCCACCATTGTCTGATTTAGCCAGACAAAATTGCAAAAGTGTAGGTGAGGGCTTTGGGGACAGGGACAAGTAATGCCCCAATAAGGCAGCATCCATCTATAATTTTAATAAATATAATCATATACACTGAATATGCTGTTATATTGCATGCTGTTTTATTAAATTCTCACAAACGCTACCTACGAAAATCCCCTCGTCTCTCACAGGAGGTCTCTCGCACCTGAATATTAGCAATTGGACTACAAATCCTAGAACTCACCTGGACTGACTGCACACACACCTGTTAAGCACTGAGCACGCTAGGCTTAATGAGAAGTCTTGGCTGAATCCGAAATCACCCCCTAAACCCTCAATCACTATTCCCTATACGTTAGCAAAGTCCTTTTAGGCAAGTCATGCCACTCGGCCGCCATCTTGGCAACGCCTCCGGGCAGCTATTTCGGACTAACAAGACCAGGCTCCTTTCTAAATGAATGGGCAGAGAGTCAGAACTGCAGTTTCACTGGTCACCGGGACATAAAAACTGCATGTATAGAAACAGCAGTAAATTATGATAAAAATCGCTAAAAAAGTTTGATGACTTTGCCCCAAAATAAGGTTTAAAAGGCCTTTTTCCCCACAGATTATACTTTTACTACGCATGCGCAAGGGTTCTCTCCCTCTGTCGTGCGCGTGCTACACAGTTTGAAGCACAGTATGTGCGAGCTCTTGCTCGCTCGCTCTAGAATCCGGGAGATTTGAACTAATTTGCGGGCATCAGGGAGCCGCTATCAATCTGCGGGAGACTTCTGATGTCTGATATTTACACAACTCACACATACACTGCATATCAAATCTGCCGCCTTTTCAAACAGTAACGTATTTTGCGCTGTCGCAAACCTCAACTGTGCGCATGCGTCAGTGGAACCAGACGATAGGCTTAAATGTTTCCCGGCTTGACTGTTAAAAGCAGACGATTGGCTTTCCAGCGGTAGGGGCGGGACTTGTGCATACAACCGCCATCTTTGGCGTTACGGGTTTTCCCTATATAGTTGTATTAAGGATTGATGAAGTGGCATGTCTCTATATAAATAGTCTCTGACGTTAGTCAACTAATACAGATCCCTTGAAGAGGTGAATGAAAACGAGTGAACGAATTCGGACAGCCGTTGAGCGTACATCGGCTTACACTCGTTATTGTGGTGCAATGTGGGATAGAAAGAGTACACTCGATAATGTTCACTATGGTTTCCGACACCATTACAAATGACTTTGCCCTCAAATAATACCCTATTTGAGGGTATAGGGGGCGATTTCGGATTCGAAATCTTGCATTTATAATAATGATTTCATTATCATGACTCTTGCTGCCTGTCTTTTGACCCCGCCTTGATCATCTGGATATTGTATTTGTCTGTCTGCTGCCTGCCCTGGCTGACCCTCTGCCTGTTATGACCACGATTGTTATTCGCTGTGATTTGACCAGCGCCTGTAAGTAGGCTACACTGACTCTGCTGTTGTTCAATAAACTGCACATGGATCTTAATCCCAGTTCATCAGAGTGAACACTGAGGTGCAAATAGTAGCCTATTTATGAATAGCAACTAACAACTATTTACACTTAGTGTAACAAACATAGGCCAGTGAGAGCTATGCGTGTAAACCTCACTCTCAAGAAGCGCTCTAGTGACTGACACTAGAGACTGCGGTCTTTAGCCTCCTTGTTAGAGTGACGGATCCCATGCGGACAGGCCCGGGTTATAGCGTTCCACTTTGTGCAAACTGGAGAGGCTACATTAGTGCAAAGAAAGTACTGCTATTTTCAATTTGTGTAAATAGCATATATCGCTATTTACACCTAGTGTAAATACCACTTGCAGATAGTTGCTGCCATTAAAAAATCGACAATATATCTATAATTTACCAGGTTAAAAGTGTAGCCAAAAATAACATTTGGAATGACATTTGGGAGAGAAGATAATGGCAGAATTGAAAATTCTGGATGAATTGTTCGCTTAAGTTTATAGCTCACTAACTGGCAGTTAGCAGGCACCCCATGTCCCAGCATGGCCCTGACTTGCTCCAGACAACCCTGCCAAGCGGCATAGTGCAGCCTGCGCTCATCCAAGAGAGAGTGCCTGGGTTTGGGTCGTCGGTGGATCCTCCACTGTCTTGTTCCCGCAGCTGTCCGGAACTTCCTCTCCACAGACACCATGGACACAGAGTCATGGAGCTCCAACCATCTCCAGTGCACCTCTGGGCCTGCGTGGGCCATGGCAGGAGGGTAGCCTGTGGAGAAAGGTCATGGTGCAAAGTTACAGGCTTTATCACATATTCCTTTTATTTTCATTGGTTGTTAGTAAGACTTTACTGATTTGAATTATTATACTGAACTAAAAGAATATGGAGAGTTGTACAGATTAGTTTCTGGCTTACTACACTAATTCCACCAGGGGGTGGTAAAAGTTTACAGCAGTTAGAAGATTCTCAGCCAGTTTTGTTACATCACTAAATTGGACCGTTTCTGACCTACATCTAAAGTGTGATAGATTTCAAGTTTGAGTAAATCACTGGAGCGGTTGCGTAACCGATAAAGTCATTGTCTCTATGGATCCAAAAATTTTACATTGATCTTCCAGTGAATGTTTTCACAGAGTCTTCTGATCTGTAGTTCTGCTGTAATTCTATCTAGAGACACAGTTGTCATGGTAACAGTGGCTGCAATTACTATTTTAGAGGTTTCCATTTTTCCTGGCAGCCTGTCTTGTAGAGGAGATGCAAAACAGGGAAAGACATTTTAGTGATATTATTAGGATTTGATTAATAAACATTGTGTAATGCTCCAGATCACGTACATCATTACATCATTACAGCCATCTTTGATCATATTTACCAAGGGGGCAGTAATTCTGACCAGCACTGTACACAGTTTCATGACATTTCAAACTAGAAATGTACACTGAGCAATTGTTTCTTAAGCATCATGTATAGGCTAATGCAACAAGATTTTGACATTTTCTGAAGAAAATCTGAGTATATGCAAAATTGCTGCCACAATGCTAGGGAGTTTCGGGGTGTTTTAAAGACCCCATGTGGTGAAAAACATGTTTTTAATGCTGTTTATATGTATATGTGTTGTTTTTAATATGCTTTCAGACAAACCATGTGCAAATTCATAAGTCAAAACCATTGCTGAATGTTTTCTCCTTAAAGGTCCAGTGAACCAAAGGCGATTTGAAATCGCCTGCGTTTCTGACATCACAAACTACCTTGTAACCATCACGTCAACATGCAGTCGGGCTTAGCATACCATCATTACTATAGTCTACTATTACTATAGTGGAGGCGGGGCTAATTTGCATATTTATAGATACTGCGTATAGGCTATACTAAATCGGAGCCGTTAAATAATTATTTAGTAGTTCAACGGCTCTGTACTAAATGAAGCAAGGGTGTAGAGTTACTTTCAAGCTATTTTAAGGCAAGAATTTCTTTTCACAGGAAAAAACGTTTAAATATGTCATTTTGGTGATCAAAGATGAGTTTTAGGGAGACAATACCAGGACTTTAAGTGATTTTTTTTAGCACATCATGTGGTTGCACAGGTGTTCTGAGCGGTTGCTTCCCGGCTCAAGTAAAAAGAGTCAACTCCTAGCCATATGTAGTCTCTAAAAATGGTCCCACTTTCAATTTAAGTCTATAGTATTTTCTTCGCCTATATTATCGTTAACCAGGTGAAAATGGTCAAACTCTCCACAACAAGCGGCACAATCTGAGGCATCATTCATGTCTGTAGCACAAAGTTTAAAACAAATTGTTCAAACTCAGATTTGAAGTATGAGCCATTAGTAATGTGTGCCATAAGTTTGTTTTAAAGGGTAACTAAACCCCTGGTCAGAGCCTGACTCCACCCACTGGCAATATTTGAAAAATGCTGGAAAAGTGGGCGGAGCCCAGCGGATATAGAGGGGATGAACGGATACTCTATCCTGATCGTTTTCAATACTCGCAATTCCAACTCCTGACTCGCTACAGTGGTTTTGACGAAACAAGATGGTTTTTATACTGCCATGGACGTGGTAGCTCGTACCAAGGGCGTGGTAAGCTGAAACCTGCTTACGTCAGCTCTCACCGCTACCGTCACGAACTACCGCAAACATTCAATAGGAAAATTCAACTGCAGTAGCCAGCGTTCAACCTGAAGAGGGCAGCACTCAGAGACGTTTTCACACCATATATTGTAGAATTAAAACACTTTATACCCAAATGTCAAAAAAGTTACTCGAATCAATGAACACCACTAATAAAGCCCCAGTCTTACAGATCATTAATTAAAAAAAGTTGGTTTAGTGTTTAGTTACCCTTTAAATAAAAGTTGCCAGAGTTCTGTCATCCTTTACTCACCCTTATGTCAGTCCAAACCTGTATGACTTTCTTTCTTGGATTTTTTGAAGAATGTTAGTTAGGGCAGTGTTTCCCAACCCTGTTCCTGGAGGCACACCAACACTACACAAATACTCTTCCTAATCAAATCACACCTGATTCAACTGGTTAGATCGTTAGTAGACACTCCAAGACCAAAAGCGAGACTCTGCAAAAGATGCGAGACGCGAACGTAACAGTCAAACATGTCCGTGTAGTGCTTGTTGGAATGGAGCGCAGTGGAATGGAAAAACATGTTCTGTGTAAACGGCCCCTTGGTGTGCCTTCAGGAACAGGGTTTGGGAAACGCTGTGTCAGGGTTAATAATTCTATGCGTTAGGGTTACTAAATTAGTAGGGTATGTTAACACGAAAATGATGTACTAAAAACAGAAATGCATTTTTTACGTACAGACGTCAACGTTGTCAAAACAATCCACGTTCACACGGATCTACGAAAACGATTGAAAACGCTGTGTTATGAATGCCAGGCTAGTAGTTGATGATGTCACTTTGTAAAGAAACACTACGCACCTATAGACTGAACACGTAATACTCATGATGTCGCCGTTTAAACAAATTCGCGTTTTAGTAGTTTACATGGAGACGATAACGATATCGCCAGAGATTGTCGAGATGAGAGGATCTGCAGCTCTTACCATTGGAGAAAGCGCAACGGCTAACTTGGATCACATACCTTGGTAACAAATCACATTACAGCCTTCGATGTCATTGAATTTCATTCAGAGTTGTGCGACAGTCAATCACTGATTGCGGATACCACAGAAATGAATGAGAAGTGCCAGACTGAATCATACCTGTCGCGCAACTTCACCTGTCCGTGACTTCTCTTATAAAACAGCATTTTTTCCGGTGTAAATTCTAAAAATAGATCAATCCAAAACTAATGTTTAAGAGCAAACATGTTGAAGATTAGCCGGTGGGCTGACGATTTATTAAGCTATTTCCTCACAAAAACGGTTTTATTTAGCGTGGTGAAGCCTCTCATCCATTGACATCCATTAAAAAAAAACGTCCTCTTGTCTCCTTCCCTGTGTACCGCAGCGTTAGTGTTACGCTTTTTTGGCTGAGGTTGCAGGCTTGTCTTCAAGTGGCTTTAGTATCGTTTTCAAAAATTTGCACGTTGAAACTAGTTTTCAAAAGTTTCCGTTTTCAAGGTCCTTAAAATGCCGTTGTCGTTTAAATGAAAAGACAAAACGCCTAAACAGTTTTGGTAACACTTTAGTTTAGGGTCTAATTCTCACTGTTAACAAGTTGCTTTTTAGCATGCATATTACTAGGATATTGGCTGTTTATTAAAGCACATATTAATGCCTTATTCTGTATAACCATATTCTACATCCCTTAATCCTACCAGAAACCTAAACTTATCAACTACCTTACAATTAGGAGTTTATTGAGGCAAAAGTCGTTTTTAATAGTTAGTTAATTGAAGAATAATAGAATTAATAGAATTGGACCCTAAACTAAAGTGTGACCAAAGTCACAAAGTTTTTTGGTCCATCTATTCTATAGAATATTCTTTGGAAACACATGAGGGTGAGTAAAGGTTGACAGAATTTTCATTTCACAGAGAATTATGCCATTGTGCTGTGTGTGTGAATTGAGATGTAGTTTTAAAAGATGACACTTTTTAGTGTTATCCTCAGTGTGAGTGCGTGTTCAAAGCCAAGCTGTGAGCCACTGGAGATCTGGAGGCGTGTACGGCCTGTCATGTCGTGGGAGTTCGGGATTATGTGGGCGGACAACTGGCTCCTGCCCTTGCCTCCTGCCTTGCTATTTATCAAAGCAAAATATCATTACAAAACACGTAACTGCACATATACACTGCTGCTGAGGAAGATTAACAATTCAATCAAGTGAGATAATGCTATTTTGTTGAATTTACAGTGAAATTATTTGAACAGTTCGTATTTCTTAGTAATGACTATTAAACTTGTATTTGGCACCCCAAACAATTATCACTCCATAAATTCACATAATTTCTTGATTCAAATTAGCAGTCAAACAAATACACATTACCAGAGATAAGCGTATGAATTTGCAGATCCATCCAACTCAGTTCACTGGAAACAAGACAGAGAAGTTACCTGTGAGTGCCAGTTACTCCATGACGTCTTGCTTCTCTCCACTGTGCTGTTGAACAGATTTCTCAGGGTGTCATACATGTAAATCCGGTCTTTCCACCCCCTCTGATATTGTTCATCAAGTGTTTTATGTTCATCTGAGGTTGCTATGGTGAGAATGGGCTTTTAGAGCACTGTTATTGTATGATGGCACAGAACACACACACAGAGAGAGAGAGAGAGAGAGAGAGAGAGAGAGAGAGAGAGAGAGAGAGAGAGAGAGAGAGAGAGAGAGAGAGAGAGAGAGAGAGAGAGAGAGAGAGAGAGAGAGAGAGAGAGAGAGAGAGAGAGAGAGAGAGAGAGAGAGAGATGTTTGAGACTGCGCATGCCTGATGGTTATTGTGGCACAATTACATTTAAAATATGTGTAATTGTCTCTTTTTTTTACTTTATCCTATGTTAAACACAAATACATTTACCAATGTATTTGAAATGTGCAATAAATCAACTCTTTTTAATGTGATCATTATCATCAAAATTCAGTGCTTTTCTGTTAAAATTCAAAAACACCATTAGGTTTCCATTAGGGTTGTCCATGCATGCAGAAATGAGAGGCGGTAGCAAATAGAATGCAGAATTGAATTGAATTTAAATTTGATTTGAAGGAAGTACAATTTATATACACTCACCTAGAGGATTATTAGGAACACCTGTTCAATTTCTCATTAATGCAATACTCTAATCAACCAATCACATGGCAGTTGCTTCAATGCATTTAGGGTTGTGGTCCTGGTCAAGACAATCTCCTGAACTCCAAACTGAATGTCAGAATGGGAAAGAAGGGTGATTTAAGCAATTTTGAGCGTGGCATGGTTGTTGGTGCCAGACGGGCCGGTCTGAGTATTTTACAATCTGCTCAGTTACTGGGATGTTCACGCACAACTAGGGATGGCCCGATACCATTTTTTTTCAAACCGATACGAGTACGAGTATTTACATTTGTGTACTTGCCGATACCGAGTACGATACCGATATTTCTACCACAAAAGTAATAGGCTCCCAGAAAAGAAGACGACTATTTTAGAACACAGGTTAGAAGACTGTTTTTATTTTCTTCTCTGCTTGTTTTAACAAGTCTATAAATAAATAAAAATGAGTAAAATAATAAATGTATTAACAGGGCTGCCAACTCTCACGCATTCACCGTGAGACTCACGCAATTGAGCCAATTCTCACGCTCTCACGCCACACCCCCGATTTCTCACGCTGAAGTGTCAACCCAGTCGGTCAAATGCCTGAAAGATAAGTTTATCTATAGATCTACCAGTTGAGCCATTCGTGATCGACTAGTTTTACCGCAAATTAGTTAAAATATCCTGTAATCTATAGCGAGCGAGCGTGCATGCGAGACAGTTGTGTTGAGCTCCTAACGGCGCGCTCCTAATCGCGCACGCGCAGTCGCGCACACGACGGCAGAGAGGTAAACGAGCTTGCGTGTCTTTCGCAACACAACCCAGTGGACAGTTACACTGTATTGAGACAGTTGAGAAATAATAATATTTTTAGTTTTCAACAATAATTGTCATTGTTGAACCCTTGCTCTTATTATATTTCTGATTTCTCAGTTTTGTCATTATTTTAGCAAATAATTTATTTTATGTTTTGAGACAGTTTGTTTGAAGAAGTTTTAAAGAGTTGGTAAAAGAGTAAAGTAAAAGTTAAAACTTTTTTATTTAAGTAGGCATCTATTTTTTATTAAGTAGGCCTATTTATTTTGTATTAATACATAACCTTACTGTATTCATTCATAATGTATCATTATTGCGTGACATTTGTGTCAATAATCGTCAAGCACAGGGGACTTTGCGTAGTGGGAGGGGGCCCCCAAATCAAATTCTGCTTAGGGCCCCCAAAAGGCTCGGACAGGCTCTGGAGACCAGACAGACAGTGTGAGTTTTTTGTGACAATTGTGAGGGAAATACACAATTTATTCCCATAAACTGTGTAGTCAGCCGTTCTCCCTCCCATCTGCACTGTGTGAATTGTGAACGCAGGCAGGTCAGTGAGTTACCTTGAGTTACAGTGAGCTCCTTGTCTCCATCCAGTTTAGGCTGGTAATTAATAGGCCTGTTATATAGTTTATATAGAATTAAGTTAGCAATAGCAGAGTTGTTTGTTTTGCAGCACTGAGCAGTTATTTTACATAACTTTATCATAAAAACAGTACAAAAGCATTTCCAGATGACAAATATCTGGACATGCCTAGTAGTTAATGTTAATTATTGTTTTCTAAGAACAGAATGTCAATTAAAATGTTAAAATTAAATGTAATGTAAATCTCAAAAGAAATTCTGTACAGATATACCAAATACTTTGACAATCAATATATACTTAATACACTTCTGTTAATGCAAGGATTTTGTGTTTGTATTTTTCCCCACACCAAGCCACGCCCCTCAATAAGCCCCTCCCCCATAACCCAAGCCCCGCCCCCCAAAATCTCACTCTAAGCTGAACTCAAAAGTTGGCAGCCCTGTATTAACACACAAACCACTGTTAATTTAACATAAAAGCAAGCAGGCTACTGCGTGCATGGTCTGGCATGACTGAATGCACGCAAAGTGCGCTCCCTTAATAAATCCTAAAAGCTGACAGTTCATCGCGATCTCACACATCTCTGTTATTATCAATGAAGCTGACTGCACAATCAATCTTTCATAATATCCACACTTTGTTTGTTATAATTAGAGGATTTGCCAGCATACAGAATTCAGCACTGAACAAAAAAGTCCGTTTTGAGCGGTGAGGGGAGTCTATCTTAAATGCTTCTGATTGGCCATTGCGCTCCAGAAATCAACACATATGTCTGTGATTGGCTACATCGCTCAACGCTGTAACCATGTTATGAATAGAAACTCTGGCCTGTAAATCGTTTCTATTTTGTTGTAGTTGTTCTTGTTGCTTTTCTGCAAGAGATGAATAAAAATCTTTTAGTTTTTATGTTTTATTCATAGATATTTCTAGTTTGCGGGAGTCCCGCGAATCGTTTTATTCTCCCGTAACCCGCACACACAGAGTGAGTGCATTACCGCCCGCGCGCGCGCTCGGCCATCAGATCTATGATGCGTCTTCAGATGTTTAATTAGATTGCTGGTGTTAAACGATGTACTTTCTTTCCCTCCTCTCGACACCTTAGCTGAACATAACTCACAGTCTGCCTTGCTGTCATCACCCCTTATCTTGAAATGAGCCCAAACCGCCGACATTATACTTTCCTATGCCTCAGTTCACCTCGACAAAGCACTCGCGGCGGCCAGTTTCGTTTTGCAAAATGTACGTGGTATCGGTGCGTGGTATCGGCGAATTTTTATGAGTACGAGTACGAGTATATTAGGACAGTATCGGCCCGATCCCCGATGCCAGTATCGGTATCGGGCCATCCCTACGCACAACCATTTCTAGGGTTTACAAAGAATGGTGTGAAAAGGGAAAAACATCCAGTATGCGGCAGTCCTGTGGGCGAAAATGCCTTGTTGATGCTAGAGGTCAGAGGAGAATGGGCCGACTGATTCAAGCTGATAGAAGAGCAACTTTGACTGAAATAACCACTCGTTACAACCGAGGTATGCAGCAAAGCATTTGTGAAGCCACAACAGGCACAACCTTGAGGCGGATGGGCTACAACAGCAGAAGACCCCACCGGTTACCACTCATCTCCACTACAAATAGGAAAAAGAGGCTACAATTTGCAAGAGCTCACCAAAATTGGGCAGTTGAAGATTGGAAAAATGTTGCCTGGTTTGATGAGTCTCGATTTCTGTTGAGACATTCAGATGGTAGAGTCAGAATTTGGCGTAAACAGAATGAGAACATGGATCCATCATGCCTTGTTACCACTGTGCAGGCTGGTGGTGGTGGTGTAATGGTGTGGGGGATGTTTTCTTGGCACACTTTAGGCCCCTTAGTGCCAATTGGGCATCGTTTAAATGCCACGGCCTACCTGAGCATTGTTTCTGACCATGTCCATCCCTTTATGGCCACCATGTACCCATCCTCTGATGGCTACTTCCAGCAGGATAATGCACCATGTCACAAAGCTTGAATCATTTCAAATTGGTTTCTTGAGCATGACAATGAGTTCACTGTACTAAAATGGCCCCCACAGTCACCAGATCTCAACCCAATAGAGCATCTTTGGGATGTGGTGGAATGGGAGCTTCGTGCCCTGGATGTGCATCCCACAAATCTCCATCAACTGCAAGATGCTATCCTATCAATATAGGCCAACATTTCTAAAGAATGCTTTCAGCACCTTGTTGAATCAATGCCACGTAGAATTAAGGCAGTTCTGAAGGCAAAAGGGGGTCAAACACAGTATTAGTATGGTGTTCCTAATAATCCTTTAGGTGAGTGTAGAATGAAATTCAAAAAATTACTGTAAGTGTAAAATTTTAATGGCAAAATTAAATGGCTGTTAATTGTTTTGATAGTATTGTACTTCTTTAGACATTCTACATATCAGGGAATACATTTGTGTATTTTTGCATAATTAATTATGTAATTATCCATGTCTTTTCACACGTTGAACTAATGAAATTCCTGTGACAGTGTAGAATTTAATTTCAGGAAATTATAATACAATTAATTCCTGTTGTTTGTGGCAAGTTCAATTTAAAATCACACTCATGAACTGATAGTTTGCAATTTGCAAATTATGATAAAATGTCAAATCTTTGGAAAAAATTTGGAAATAATAATTCACTACATTGTAGTGAATTTGTTTTCACATTTCCATGTCAGTGAAGCCTTATTTAAGACTTCCTCTTGTTCAGTGGAATTCATGTGTAAATCAGCAACCATACAAATGTGTAACAAACAATTTCTTGACATGAATATGACATCATCTTTACAGTTTATTTGTGCTTTGAGCTCTGAATCTGAATGTTGTGCTAATGTCGGGTGTGTTTTGGGCGGTGAAGGAAGGGCTGATTTTTATGGGCCTCATAGGGGGAGTCGCTTCAAGAGCACTTCATGTTTGTTTTGTTTCTTCCATTGACCTTCATCAAAGTAAATACACTGACCCACAAGGGGGCAATGTCTGCCTAGCAAAGATTTATTATTATTACACTGAACCACAAGAGGTGCTGTTTTAAACATTCATTAATTTGGTTGTCCAGCAGTCAGTCTCATGTTAGGAGAGGACATCAGTGATCCGAGACCTCAGTTG